TTATTATCATCACTATTATTACAATTATCATTATTTACATTATTATTAATATTATTATTATTATTATTAATATTATTATTATTGTTATTATTGTTATTATTGTTGTTGTTGTTGTTATTATTATTAATATTGTTATTATTGTTGTTGTTATGCTATGTGATTATTCTTGATTAAATTTTGTCCAGCACAACTTGTAATACAACAATGTTTGCTGTTCTTAATGTAATCAATATTTTTTTTACCGTGTTCTCCTGCAGCATCTTGCCTTTAATGCGTTCTTGCTTATAAATCAGTCAGGCAGAGTTTACATGGATCGTCCTGAATTCATTTTACGACCGTGCGTCTTGTTCTCTCATTTCAATTAGCGCGACGGCTTCATATTTTCTTTCAGAGATTCACAGCTATTCGTCACTCGTCTGACATGTGACCTTTAGTTAGTGTGGCGATGCAGACGCTTTAATTAGCTGATGGAGGCCTGCACTAATTACACACTCCTACCCGTCCAATTAACTCACATATGCAGGACTGTCACATCTCTAGTTCATCTGTTTGTCAACAGCGGTCTGGTCAATGGGTTTCTGACTGAGACATTTTAACCAAAGTGCATTGCAATAACATGAGTTTAGAGTTTGTGTGTGTGTGTGTGTGTGTGTGTGTGTGTGTGTGTGTGTGTCTTTGCATGAGTGTGTTTGTGCATGTGTGTGCGTGCAGTTATGTGCGTATATTCATGCATGTGTGTGCATGCCTGTGTGTTCATGCATGTGTGGTTTCATGCATGAGTCTGCGTGTGTGCTCATGCATATGTGGGTTTGTGCATGTGTGTGTATTCACATGTTTACATATGTTCATGCATGTGTGTGCATGTATGTTCATGTGTGTGTGTGTGTGTGTGTGTGTGTGTGTGTTTGTCGTTGTCTTTGCATGTGTTCATGCATGTGTGTGCATGCCTGTGTGTACATGCATGTGTGTGTGCGCCTGTGTGTTCATGCATGTGTGTTCATGCATGTGTGAGTGGCTGTGTGTTCATGTATATGTGTGCGTGCCTGTGTGTTCATGCCTGTGTGTGTGCCTTTGTGTTCATGCATGTGTGTGTGCCTGTGTGTACATGCATGTGTGTGTGTGCCTGTGTGTACATGCATGTGTGTGTGTGCCTGTGTGTTCATGCATGTGTGTGTGCCTTTGTGTTCATGCATATGTGTGTGTGCCTGTGTGTACATGCATGTGTGTGTGTGCCTGTGTGTACATGCATGTGTGTGTGTGCCTGTGTGTTCATGCATGTGTGTGTGCCTGTGTGTACATGCATGTTTGTGTGTGCCTGTGTGTTCATGCATTTGTGTTCATGCATGTGTGTTCATGCATGTGTGAGTGCCTGTGTGTTCATGTATATGTGTGTGTGCCTGTGTGTTCATCCCTGTGTGTGTGCGCCTGTGTGTTCATGTATGTGTGTGTGTGCCTGTGTGTACATGCATGTGTGTGTGCCTGTGTGTACATGCATGTGTGTGTGCCTGTGTGTTCATGCATGTGTGTGTGCCTGTGTGTACATGCATGTGTGTGTGCCTGTGTGTTTATGCATGTGTGTGTGCGCCTGTGTGTTCATGCATGTATGTGCGTGCCTGTGTGTACATGCATGTGTGTGTGCCTGTGTGTGTGTGTGTGTTTACAGCTGTGCAGTTACCTGTTTGTGGATTGAAGGCCGACTGCATGTGCAAATGAGAATCATCTCTTGTTGCTGTGTGTTCTTCTTCCAGCCCTGTATCCTCCTCAACAACATCCAGCAGCTCAGAGTCCAGCTGGAGAAGATGTTCGAGTCCATGGGAGGAAAACAGGTCAGAAATACCCTCACTCTAACCGTAACACTCCAGACTCTTTCTGTTTTCCACTAACTGTGAGTGAAGTTGTAGAAGATCCTTTGCTGTAAAGCTGCGTTCATCACCTGTCTGAATAACTGCGGCCATGAGACTCATAAGGAGACTCCTGCTTCTTCCTCTTAAAGGGACAGTACACCCAAAATTGACAATTCTGTATTTATCTACTCACCCTTTACTTGTTTCAATCCTGTTTGAGTTTCATCTGTTGAAAAGAAAGGAAGATATTAAGAAGAAAGCCAGAAAACCTGTAACCATTGACTTCCATAGCAGGTTTTTTCCTACTATGAATGTCAAGGTTTCAAAATATCTTCTTTTAGTGTTCAACAGAAGAGAGAAACTCATAAAGCTTTGGAACCACTTAAGGGTGAGTAAGTAGTGAGTACATTTCAATTTTGGGTGAACTGTCTCTTTAACAGGCTGCATACAAACACCAGCACATGTTGGATGTGTTGCTGCACAGTATTACCGCATCCTTTTTGAATTTTATTCATGACTTTATCAGGAATTACAGATTATTCATTCATTTATTCATTTTCTTGTCGGCTTAGTCCCTTTATTAATCCGGAGTCGCCACAGCGGAATGAACCGCCAACTTATCCAGCAAGTTTTTACGCAGCGGATGCCCTTCCAGCCACAACCCATCTCTAGGAAACATCCACACACACGTTCACACACACACTCATACACTACGGACAATTTAGCCTACCCAATTCACCTGTACCGCATGTCTTTTGACTGTGGGGGAAACCGGAGGAAACCCACGCGAAGGCAGGGAGAACATGCAAACTCCACACAGAAACGCCAACTGAGCCGAGGCTCGAACCAGCGACCCAGCGACCGTCTTGCTGTGAGGCGACAGCACTACCTACTGCGCCACTGCTTCACCCAAATTGCAGATTAATTGGGGATAATTCTATGCAAATATACTAAACCAAAACAACGATCTAAAGGCCCGTGCACACTTTTTGCTCGCTTTTTCCGTCGACATTTAACGCCTCGTAACTAAATAAAGGGCATCAATGTGATTGTGCACACCAACGCGCAAAACGCCCCGCGCAAAAGCGTCATTTTTTAAAAAACGCCTCATGCTCGTTTTTTTTTGGTTTTGACGCGCGCCGTCAAAACCATCTCCACCAATCAGATCGGCACCTTTGTTTATGTGCACGGAGCTGCTGAAGTTACAGTAAACAGCACTTGGAGGCGCTCAAGCACAAAACTGTCAATGCGAGCGCACATTAAAGAAGATGCCCAGAGGCGATATGAATGTGGAGCTGCTTATTGCACTGGCAAAACAATAATAATTTCTTCATCGCTAGAGCAGGACCTGCTGCTTGAACAAACCATGCTAGTTCGAGTCACCATTAAATTTAACAACATGCATGTGACTGTGAACTTCCGCTCCTCCAATTCTTCTGTGTTATAACCGGGTGACAGAAGCTCATAGTTGTGCAGCGCCATCTAACGTCAAAAGAGTGATTTAGCGTACTCTTCTGCTTGAGGCCAGTAAAAAGCGCTTGGGTTTGAACACTGATAAACGTCTCGTAAAATGCTGACAATAAACGCAAACAAAAAACGTCCCAGTGTGTAGGAGCCTTAAGTGTAAAGTCTAAAGCGCATGGCACAAAAGCAAGAAGGTCATGTCCGAATCCACTTGTGCTATTTAATGATGGAGAAATACGGTTTGTACCCTGGCACATGGTCTAACAGGGTTGTGCTTATCCTCTTAATGAGTTATGGTGTTAATGTGCATTAACTAATCAGAGTCAGTTGCATCGTGTCATGGTGCATTTTCTATTTACATGGCGAACTTTGTAAGTGTAAAACCTGAACGCTTCACTAGTGAGAAAACAGTTAAACAGAGCATCTGCAGCACGATGATAAAGAACAAGCCTCCTCCATTCAGCCTCTTTACTTTCTCCTTACTTTATTTTTACTCTTTACTCCTTTACTTTGGTGGAGTTAGGAAACGGTGGAAACTTACTCCACTGAACACATCTATTAGCCCACATATTTAATTTAGTTTATGAAGTGCAAAGATTTGTTTTAATACTATTTCTATATTCCGTTATAATTTCCTGCATTGGAATAAACGAATAATAAATGAAGCTTATAAAAAGGGCAGTTTCTGTTGTGGGGTGCGCACTACCCACTAAGGAAGAGATTGCACATGGTCGACCCTAGCTGCTAGAAACGAACCGTAAAATTTCAGATTATTTGCTTACAGTGTATGTTACAAACTTTTGTGCTCAAAAAGAAACGTTATTGATGATAATACAGTCTCTTACTGCATTCACCATAGATTTAACAATTTATGGATATTAAAGCATTTTTGCAGTGTATGTGAAGAGCCTATTTATAAAATATATTTAGAATGAATTTCTGTTAATTACATTTATTTATTTATTTATTTATTTATTTATTTATTTATTTATTTATTTATTTATTTGTTTATTTATTATTATTTATTTATTTATTTCTGTATTTATTTATTTATTTATTTATTTATTTATTTCTGTATATATTTTTTCTTTATGTGTTTATTCATTAATTAGTTTATTTATTTATGAATGTATTTTTTATTTCTCTATTTATTTATTTATGAATTTATTTATTTCTGTAATTATTTATTTATTTATTTATTTATGTATTTATTTATGTATTTATTTATGTATATATAGATTTTTTTATTTCCATAATTATTTACTTATTTATTTCTGTATTCAGTTATTTCTGTATTTATTTATTTATTTATTTATTGTATTTATTTGTTTTTGCATTTATTTCTGTATTTATTTATTTTTGTATTTATTTATTTATGTATTTTTTTCTTTATTTATTAAATAATTTATTTATTTATTTTAATATTTATGTATTTATTTATTTATTTTTGTATTTTTGTATTTATTTATTTTTGTATTTATTCATTAATTTTTGTGTTTTTTTATTAATTAATTAATTAATTAATTTATTTATTTATTTCAGATTTGCAGATTATTTGTTTACAGTGTATGTTACAAACTTTTGTGGTCAAAAAGAAACGTTATTGATGATAATACAGTCTCTTACTGCATTCACCATAAGGCAAAGTAGCATCAACTTTCACTAAACACTAGGCTTATGCTAGTTTTGGTAAATAAAATAAGCAAACAATGTCAATTAAATATGACAACAAGATGCTGCGGTGCCAGAAACTTATATTATTGTTGGCTAAGAGAACAAGTCGTTCGTAACAGAGATTCATTCACAAACGAATCTCTCCCTCCGTTAGAATGAGAGGTGAAAACAAGAGAGGGGCTGTGTTTCAGGACACGGATTAGACCAAATTTAACAGGAGGAAGGATAATACATTTTCATGCACACAAACACATGTTCTCTGTCAGGAATGCTCATGCGGTTACTTATCGATAAAGAAAAGTAATGTAAAATTATCGTTATTTAAATAAATATTTGCATACTCACCATGGGGAAACTCCCGATCATAGATACATGTGTATATGTGTATATCTCTGGCTTTGGATGGCCACAGTCCTCCACTGCAGCTTGGTCTCGCATTCATTTCAAAGGAGCGCTACCCTGTACTAAAATGGCGGCTCTATTGACGCATTCCTTCCAATAGATAACAACAGCACAGGTGACATCTAATGTAAATATCGATAGCTCTGATGTTGTTTGATGTGCAGTGTTGCCATAGAAACAGCAAAAGCTCAGCTCATGGTTGCAGGAATGGATGATGAACGCAGCAGAACAGCAGTGAATCCTGCATGTGTGTGTTGTGCTTCTTCAGTGTGGTGTAAATGTGGTAAATCTGTGTTTCTTGTCGTCCTGGTCTCCTCTGGGCTCTTGCACCAGGAGGAAGGGACTGTGGTCTTCTGCAAGGTGTGTGACAGGTTTCCTTGAACATCTTTCTACACGCTCAATATAAAGCTTCACCATTGGCATCGATGCTCCATGAAGGACCGTTAACATCCATTCATTGCACTTATTTGCTGTATAGGGGAAGTGCTTTGCTTACATCAGGGGTTTTCAGACGTTTAGATGCCATGAATACTAAAATATGATATTGCTTATATATATTTTATGTCCTAAGATTATTAAGGTAAATATCCTAATCCTACTATTTTGATTCTTGGAGTTTTTGTTTTGATTTTAGTCCAAATATCTAAAAATTCTTAATTCAAGCATAATTTTCTAATTTCAAATTTTCTATAGTTTTTTTTTTCAAGTTTTGTTTTCAGAAATAATGAGTCAAAATTAAGTGTGTTGTCCCCAAAACAAGCTAAAATAATCTGGCAATAGGTCGAATATTTATAATTCAACTTAGAAACAAGTTTATTTTGCTGACCCCATTGGCAGATGTAAAGACTTTTATTCTTTACTTTTAATTTTAAATTCTTCTTGATTTAACAATTTATGGATATTAAAGCATTTTTGCAGTGTATGTGAAAAGCCTATTTATAAAATATATTCAGAATGAATTTCTGTTAACTACATCTATTTATTTATTTATGGATTTATTTATTTATTCATTCCTTTATTTATGTATTTCTGCCCTTATTTATTTTTTTATTTTTTTATTTATGCATTTATG